TGAACAAGATTTTCTTGGCAGCTCAGATGAAAAAAATTGGACATATTTCTCTCTGACAAGGGCCTTTGCCAAAATAATGACTTGCCAATCTTTTAACAATATTTTTTTTTAATGAAAATCAGCATTTGCTTGAAGTGTAGAAGGCTTTAGGGTAAATTACAACGAGAAATGTTTGTCACTCCCTTGTTTGTCTTATATGATGCCTTCTCCGACTTTAACAGTCCCTGTTTTACAAAGAGAGTCGTTTGGGAAAACTTAGTCTTACAAGCAACCTCTTTTTCAAGGTAGAAGACTTAAAAGCGTTATGTGAGACCAAAGCAGTCACTTGGTTAAAAAATAAACAGTCAAAGAATGCTACATGTGGCTATTGGTGCAGCAGTGGCACCGGGAAACATTGGGTCAAAATTGGGTCAAGATCGGAATTCTATTGATACACTCACTCACTCACTCACTCATCTCCACAACATCTATGGCTTCGCCTCCCATAGGAGGCAGTAGCCGCAAAAATCAAAGCTCGTAAAATCGTAAAGCATTGTGAATATTTACCAATCATCGCGAAGAGATCAGAATGGTAAACTGATGCTTCCTTGGGACTGTCCAAGGCTTTTTTGTCGTGCAACACCCGGGACAGGGCAAGCCCGAAGTACGCCCCAAAGGCGTGAATGATTATGGACCCTCCAGCATCAGAATACTTCAGGAACTCAACGGCGATCAGCTCGTTGATGGCGTAAAATACCACTTCTAGGATACCAATGACCAGCAGTTGCAGGCGGCTCACTTTTCCCAGGACCGCTCCGTAAGTGATGAGGACCGTCGCAGCGGCGAACTCTGATGTAACCAAGCTACGTTTAGATGCAAGGAAAGAAGGATATGAGTCATAAAGGCTACAACTTTTATGTCTTGCTCCAGGAAAGCTAAACCTTTTATTATCAAGATCTACAAATCAGTCCTTTGCGCTGTCTGGCGCACATTTGTTTTGATATTAGCTTGAGGACTCTGGAGTTGATTTAGGTCATATCTCATGGTTTGATATTCCTTTTTCTCATCCCCTTTTTTTGCATGACAAAGAAAGTAAAGTTACGAGGGGAATTTACTTATTGGTCACTCCTTAGAGCAAAAGTTCCCGTCAGGAAGCGTTGATCATGCGCAACTTTCGAACTGTGGGTATGCTCTCATGTTCGCTATGCGTTCTGGGAAATATGAAATTCTCGGTCTTTCTGTCTGCCAGCGCCATCTCCTCGTGGTGGACCCTGGGTAGCTTGGTCATCTGACTAAGCTTTTACAGACGGAGTTCTGGCGTAAGGCACATTTCAATCAAGTGTCGTTAAACCAAAACAAAAGTAACCTCAACGGCCAATAACAAAAAGATAAATGTCATCAATGAGAAGACAACGAAAACAAGCAAACTGCCCAAAGCGCGGAAAAACGTCAGTTACCAATGAAAGTCGTGATTGGTTTTGGTTTGCATCTGATTGGCTGCGAAGATGACGCGAGTTTCCTAAATCAATCACAGAGCGAAGACCATGTACAAATGAGCATAACCCGGAAACAAATCTCACGGTGCCCTGTGAGACAGGCACTTGATTATCAGTGACAAATTAATATCCCAGATCCCAGCACAGGGTAAACGACTAATAGATTTATACAAAAAAGCGCATGGTCACTGCAATTCCTTAGCTCCGCAGGAAGCTTATTAAAAGCTTCTGCAGCTTGATCTTGTAGAGTGTTCTTCTCAATTTTGTTGGCAAGTTCTAATTTTGGTGCAGCTAATGACCTAAGATTATATCTATTTACGACATGTTGCTTGAGTTTTAGTGGAAAGTCCTCATTATATAATGACTTGTGCCTAATGACTATGTGCCTTGTATAATGACTAGACCTGTATCTAGTTAGCATGATAACAAAGTAATTTGCATTTGAAAAGCAGCAACATCTCTATCATAACAAGGTCACCCTAAGCCTCACTCCTGTTCAAAGGCTTGGCCACCAAGCCCACAACTGTAAAAAGGGCTATTGCTCCACAGCCTTTCACAAGAGTTTTGAATGGTAACAAAGAAGACCACTATGGCTCACAACTCTTACTTTTCGCCGAACAGAATAGGAATGACCGATAAGGACTTCTCTTCACAACATCAATAAATTTTCGTGCTGAGAGGTTATGAGAGGAAAATGGTATATCAACTAGGGGAGAAACTGTGATTCAAGACTAAATTCTCAAACAATTACAA